TAGGATTGTTCTATAAATCTCTATTATTAGCAGATTTGTCATTTGTTTAACTCCCCTGTTTATTAAGCCAGTCTGACCAGGATGTCTTTACTCACATCCTGGTATGTGTATCCTAGTGAAACGCCAAGCATTTCCTAGACTCTCATTTTCCCCCTCTTTTTTGACACTGGCATATTTCATGCTGTTTGTATAACAACTTGTTTTCCTTGTGTCAGTTTCCTATATAAAGTAGGAATTATATTATTGACTTGGCTATTAAGTAAAATAATTAAATTTAGGGTCTATTTAAAATAAAAGCATTAGTACTTTGCAACATTGTGATAACAGAAGATTGAAAACATCTTAAAAGGCCATCAATAAAGGAATACAGCAATAAAAAAATTAGGGCATTCTCTGTTTACCAACATAGATCTCCAAATGATAAAACGTGCTCCCAATACAACCTGCATATTATGGTACTTTCTTTTAAGGAGAACAATAAAAATAATTTGTTTGTATATGCATAAAGAAATCCTGAAAGAAGATATGGGAAAGCAATAACAGTGATAACCTAATTGGAAAATAGTAGGACTAGAAACTGGGTGAATGGGAGACAAGAGCTGAGAGGGAGTTTTTTATAGCATACCTTTTTATATATTTATATTTTTTAACTATATGTATATATTATATATTTATAAGATTAAAAACAAACTAGTACAACTAAAAATAATATTTGATTCTAGATTGGATCTTGAACAGGTTTTAAATATATATATATATATATATATATATATATATATATAGAGAGAGAGAGAGAGAGAGAGAGAGAGAGAGAGAGAGAGAGACCGTCAACTGTCTGACCCATAGCTATGATACACACTGACCACCAGAGACAGATGCTCAATGCAGGAACTGCTGAGCTGTGGTGACTTGGTAGCTGTTCTCGAGTGACGCACCCCAGAACCAGAGAGGTGGGAGCCCAATTCCGGATGCATCACCGGGAACCACCTTCTCGCAATCCGAGGCCCTTTGGGGAATGTCGGAGAGCTGGTTTCAGGCTGATCCTCACAGGCCAGGCCAAGGGACCCCACCAGTGCACGAATCTGTGCACTGGGCCTTTGCTTTTTATATACAAGACAATTAACAAAATTGGAATATGGAGTATAGATTAGATAAAATAACAATAGTTTTTTAATTTAGCAACTATATCATGGTTATCTAAAAGAAAATCCTTATTCTTAGGAAAATACACACTGAATTATTAAGAAATCAAGAGTATAATATATGCAACTTATTACTCAAATGGCTTGAAAAAATAAATAATATATACATATATATTGGAGGAAAAATAAGAAAATGTAGAGGATTGCTAAAAACTGGCAAATTTCTATAAATGTTATGGAGTAGTCCTATGTATTTTTCTCAACACTTTTCTGATAGTTTTTAATGATCTCCAAATAAAAGAATAATAGAAAACAAGCAAACAAAAACATTATTAGTATTCAGGAAATTACCTCAATGTAAGGAATGGCCAAGATGCAGGAGCCTCTTTAAGAATCTTAAGAGTTCTGGTTTTACCCGGTCATGGTTTTCATGTTCTCGTGGAATTTTTGCCAAAATTTTTCTGTCTTTTCCATGCCTGGTGGCAGTGGCAGAGGTGGTGACTGCAGTCTGCCTAAGGTTAAAAACACCTGCCTACCAGCCTCTCATTCTGCTATGTATCCTCTGCAGTTATATCTTCCCTACAATTTAGAGGTGGCATCAACAAAACAATAACAACAACACAAAGCATTGTAAAGTACCCTGAACTAAATTTCCTATGGATATTAATTATCATGAGGTTGTGTGTCCACAGTGCTAAAATATATAGTTAATTTAGGAGGGATAAGGCTACAGAAACATTCAATCTAGCTCTTTGGCACTAAGCAACTGAATTTTTTATTTCTTTTTATTTAGATATTGTCATTTGTATGGACTAACCCTCTCTACTATAACTGTCATAGCATTACAGATGTGTGAGGATGTTTTGATTCTAGCCAGTCTGGCCACTTAAGCCATTAGAAGTATAGCTCATGTCAATAAATGACATCAAACAAATCTGAATTGTTAATGTTCATTTTCTATCTGATTAGGGAAGCTCATGATTCATTATACCCAAACCTTTTTCTTCTCACTTTACAAAAAAGTTTGATTAGAATTGGAAAACAATGGCTCTGACTTACCTCAATCTCTGAAGTGCCTCATCAGAACTGTCACTTCTCTATAATTAGGACAAAAAGATAATTTTGCTACTTGGTCCCACAGCTATTCCAGGCCCATTTGATCCTAAGAAACTAAGCCCTAATAAGAGACCTGGGCCTCATTGACTGACTAATGCAAAAAATCAGAATGTACCAAAAATATAATTGAATTTAAATATTATTGAGCATTTGCCCGGCTGGCATGGTTCAGTGGTTGAGTATCAACCAGTGAACGCGGAGGTCACAATTCGATTTGCAGTCGGGCACATGCCCACTTTGCGGGCTTGATCCCCAGTGTGGAGCGTGTGGGAGGCAGACCATCAATGATTCTCTCTCATCATTGATGTTTCTCTTTCCTTCTTCCTTCCTCTCTGAAATCAATAGAAATATATTTTTTAAAGTATATTGGATGTTTTTAATCCTTTTTTAATTATTTAGAACACGTTTTAGGGTCTTGCAAATGTTCATGGTCATTATTTTGAAAGAAGTTCTCATAATATAGCTCCCTAGATACAGAATAATAGAGACTGGACTGTGTCTATACTGATTTAGGATATCTCTTTTATACTCTTGACATTCTTATATTAACTTGTATTAATAAAGGAAGAAAATAATCCTACCTTACGTTTCAGGAAATTGAACTTCTTATGGTCCATGAAGGTAAAGCATATCAAAGATCTTCACATACATCCAGGAAAACCATGTAGTAAAACTGCACTCATTTAGAATTTTCAGTGGTTAAGACCAAGAAGTCATGATTCTAAAGAACAAAGTTCAAAATAATCTCTTTTGTGAATTAGGTTCTATTCAGAAGTAAGGATAAAGCAATAACTTCTTCAAACAAACAACTTGAGGAATTATATCTAATTGTGGCTCATTTACCATTTATATATAATTACTTTCAAATCTGTAATCCAGTAATTAATTCTTATATTACCTAAAATGTTTTATAGACATGTTATATTATTATGTAATATAACCCCATTACAAATGGTAATGGTGTTATTAACTTAGCTCATTTTACTTATTTAGTACTTGTTTGTTCTTAGTTTATAGTTGTTAATTCCCTTTATAGTATGACTTGTACTTGGAAGTAATAAAACCAGATTTCTTTATAAATATTTATGGTACAGACCTTTTCCTAAATCAGATTGCAGCCCTTTCCTAATTATTTCCAATAAAGTCTGCTTACATCTTTTTTTCCCCCTATGTTACAGTATGTCTTGAATGCTCCCTAGAAATTTTAATCCTAGGTAACTAGGCCTTAACTTCCAATTAATCAAAGTCTTGTTAACTGCCATGTAGGTGCTGGAGTTACAGTGTGTGGGAAGTTAGTTACTGAGAGTTTAAGAAGGTGGTTTTGGTTGAAGTCTTCTTAGCACCTACAGCCGTGTGGTCAAAAGGGGTCACTAAGTGAATGAGCCCTTCTTGACTACCCGTCTTTCCAAGGGGAGCTGTTTTGCAGTTTCAGATCTCTTCTTATCTGTTGTTGAAAGTATTTTTTAGCTGCAGGTACCAGAAGGCAGACAGAACATAGTGTTTGTTTGTTTGTTTGTTTGTTTGGGATTTTAAGTTCTTTATTAAGACTTTAAGGTTCTCAAGATCTCCTTTTCCCTTCTCTCTTGACCTTAGGTGAGACTGAAGTTTAAAAGGCTTTGACCACATTGTCCCTATAAGGGATGTAAATTTTTTGATTTCAGAAGTTCCAGTCCCCAGTAAAGAGCACTATACAATCTTTTGCAGATGTCTTCTTGGCCAGATTTCATCACAAATAACTTCATTCCATTACCATGTGCCAAGTTTAAAGTTCTGTATTAGGTTCCTCTGTAGTCAAAACAACCAAGCCCTGGTCCAGACTGCTGTGAGACAAGAGCCCATTGTGTCCTAGTGGCTCAGTTGGTTGGATCATCGTCCTATACACCAAAATGGTTGTGGGTTCGATTTTGGTCAGGGTACATACCCATAGTGTAGGTTTGATCCCGTTAGGGCACATACAAGAGGCAACCGATTAATATTTCTCTCATATCAATGTTTCTCTCTCCCTCTCTAAAACCAATAAACATATCCTGGGGTGAGGATTAAAAAAAGCGGGGGTGAGGGGAGGGCGGGGGAGGAAGCATTGAATTATTCTGCCCATACATTCAGTGGCAGCTTTCCCTTTTGCTAGTTGACATGTAGTTTAAAGGAAATAGTGACTCCTTACTAAAGCATAACCAGGTTAGGTTATTGTAATAAGCCAAAAATAAAAAATAAAAAATAAAAATCAGCAATCCTTGACATGAAGTATTGTAATAGAATAATAGTTATATTTTTATTGTGCCATTGTGATTTTCTGTAGAGAAACACCCAAGAGAAATCAATATTTCTATTTTTAAAATCTATAGCCCTTTACCGTATCCAGGATTTCACTTCCCAGAATCCAGTCAAGTCTGAAGCTATATTATTAGAGATCCATGATCTAGTTCTTATAAATACTTCCTTTAGCTTCTCGTTTCTGTTCAGGTATTTGCACTGTCCATAAAGGTACTGTTACCATGTACAGTCGTTCACCCAAAAATGAGCCATCTAGGTATAACTCTTACAAAAATCCACCTAAAAATTACCCAAAAAGCCTTGCCTACACATGCCTCTGTACCTTGGTTCCTGAGCGCGCACAGACAGCCTGGAACTCGTGTCTCTCTGGAAGATGAATGATGAAGGAGCTTCAGCTCTAATGGGGGAGTTTGAACATTGAGTGTCACAGAGAGAAGTCAGTCTGCCTTTCTCTGGCTCTAATTGCAGAAAGTGAAGTCACTGCTTTTGCTGTCTTGGATCAGGACCAGGAAGAAATCGTTGATACCAATGGAGCCGGAGATGCATTTGTTGGAGGTACCGACTCATTTATTTTATACTTCTAAGTTAAACATTTCCTTAACCCTTGTCTCTACCAGATAGCCAAGATTTATGAATTTAATAGCTTTTAATTTCTTCTTTTAAATAATTAACTCCTAACGTTCTTTCCATATGCTATTATCACGGTAAGTATTAAGAAGGTATTTTACTACAGGGGAAATATGTATTTTTGACTTAAAGATGATTTACTGTTGTGCTATCCCCTAGTCATTTTCACAAGATTAATTGTGTCTGTCAGAATATTGCACAAACAAGCTGCATCAAGTACAGTATGCAGTGTATTCATGGCCCTTTGGGCTTAAATGTTAACACATTGTTGTTCTTTAAAACAAATTGTGATAAATATTAAACAGTATGCTGCTAATAACTAAGGATTATATTACTTGGTTAACATGTGTTTCTAACGCAATAGTTGGATGTTTATTTTACTGGGAAGAGCTAAATTTTTGTCTGGTTCAGGCTTAGCAAGAACTGGGACCATTTATAAGGACCGTATTATTTTTTAAATGAGTATTCAAAAACAAGAACAAGTGGAGATTCTTGGCTTCATTATACTTAGATTGATCTAAAATCTGGTTCAAGGGTTCTTTTGATACATCTAAACTCCTTCAAGTTAAGTGTAGTTAAGCTAACTTATGGTGTGTGTAAGGCTGTAAATTCTAGAATGATAGCCCACCAGAGTCCCTCCTGATCTGATCTGTTTATTTCTTATACCATCAAGCCTGATTGGGGGGAGGAAGGGGCAAATGGAGCTGACCATTGTCCTCCTTTTCTTGGAAAATAATTTGAATCATGGTAAACATTTAAGATTGTGTAGTGGTTTTAACTTATTGTTCAAAATACATATATATTTTTTAATGGTGTTTTGTAGCACCATAAATTTTTCATGTTTTCTTCTCTGAAACTATTCATGCTTAGTCTTAAATGAGCTGTTAACCGTTAGACTGGTCGCATGCCCCATGCTCTTTTCTTTGCTCTGAAAGGCTTCATCATTGATTAGAGTATTTTGCAGCTATATTTTTCTATTCCATACTGCTTCAGAGCTCTAACTCCATGGAGGCTAAAAATAGCTCATCCAGAATTGGGCCAACTTCTGTAACACATTAAGGAAACACTATTGATTTCCTGATTAGAAATTGCTTAAAACAGGAATCTTAGTACAGAAACTTTTAAACTTGTCTCCATGTAGCCTTTTTTAGTAAAATATTTAAAATTCTAAGTGTCCTATATTTTTATGGTTAGTAGGACATATGATGGTAACCTCATTAGCCACTGCCTCTGGCCCCGGGGCCCTGGGCTGCCTGGCTCAGTAACATCAGATTCCCTTCCAGAGCCCCAGTTACCTGCAGTGCTTCCAGGATTGGGGACCAACAGAGGTTTTTTGAAGGAGAGAGGTCATTCTTAGGATAGGGATATAGGAACAGCCAGCTCCCCGATTGTATGTGCTTAAGGTGATGCATGGACTACCTCAGCAAAGCACGTGGGTTCTTTGTTATGGGATTCTCAGCCTTTTTTTTTTTTTTTTTTTAAATCTTATTCTACTTCCCTAGCTTCATTATATAGTTACTGTCCCGGTACAGTGAGGTGAATAAAGAGGAGTATGAAACTTTTTATAAAGGGCCATATAGGAAAAAGTTTAAGCTTTGCAAGCCATATACAGGCTCCTTTGCATAGTTTTCTTGATCTGTTTGCTTGATTGCTTATTTTCTGTTTTATTTTTACACTAAAATGTAAAAACCTTCCTTAGCTGTACAAAAGCAGGCCACAGGCTGGATTTTGCCTTCAGTCTATAGTTTGCTAACCCCCTTTTAAATACATGACAGCTTCCTCACTCTATTCACTTTCCTCATACCCTGGATCCAAACACCGGACCTCACTGCACATGGTTGAAATCCGTACAGACAAAGAAGGCGGCAGGCTGGAACTAGGCAGGACTCTGCTGCAGGTACCTGAGTTAGGGAGCCTTCTTTCTCACTTTACTCTGATCGGTTCCCATGATAATGAGATCTTGGAAGACTGAGTCATGCAATGAGATAAATATGTTGTCATTTTAGGAATGGAATACTTACATAGAATGTGCTGAACATGTTGACGTAAGTTAAACTGTATAGTAATAGCAATAGATAAATTTATATAGCATCTATGAGCCAATTGATACCTGAAGCACTTTACCTATATTAACTCATAATGTTCATAAAAGCTCCTGGCAGCTCATTTTATTGATGAGAAAACTATTGAGACATACAGGATTGAGGTAACTTGCCTAAAGTCTCATAGCTTGAAAGTAGCAGAACCAGTGCTCTTACTCACTGCACTATACTACTTCCCTGAACTTTTAGGGAAATCTCATTAGACTGAGGACCAGCCCTACTAACAAAAGCTGGTTTTGCCAGAGATAAACTTCCTCTCATCTGAATAGATCACCTCATTTATTGAACAGGAACTTTTGTTTTTCTTTTTTTTTTTTAATATATTGATTTTTTACAGAGAGGAAGGGAGAGAGATAGAGAGTTAGAAACATCAACGAGAGAGAATCATCGATCAGTTGCCTCTTGCACGCCCCCTACTGGGGATGTGCCTGCAACCAAGGTACATACCCTTGACCGGAATCGAACCTGGGGCCCTTTAGTCTGCAGGCTGACGTTCTATCCACTGAACCGAACCAGTTAGGGCAGGAGCTTTTGTTTTCTGATAGAATTCTCAGGACGGTAAGGGAAGGTTGTTGCAAAAAAGAAAGAGGAGAAAGGGTAGGGAATCGAAGGACTGTAGTCCCTGGTGAGTTTGAACCAGGAGCTTTTGCTAAGCAGTAGAATTGATTGCACTACTGAGATACAGAAAGCCAGATCATAAACTCGCTTGATCAGCATGGAATCTGAATACAGGAAGTTTTATGAATCATCTGTTTAGTAGCACCAGGCCAATGCATCCATCTTACAATAAAGGAGGTATTGTTAGTTTAAAATACAGAAAAATCCATTGGCTAAAAACCCCTACTCCTATCTCTACACCAAGGAACTCCTTTCTGCTAGGATTTGAAATAATCCAGCTGTGGAAGCATACTCTTCTATCTTGCAGATAAATGGAGAGGCAATTACAACTTTCACATTTACTGTGTAGTTCTTTTTTGTTTTGTTACCTGATTATTCATATATTAATACTAGAGGCCTGGTGCATGAAATTCATGCACAGGTACAGTCCCTAGGCCTGGCCAGCAATCAGGGCTGCTCAGGTTCCCTGCCTTAGCCTTCCCTCACTTCGTCAGCCCACCACTGATCACCTGCCATGTTCCATGCTGCCCCCTGGTGGTCAGCACATGTCATAGCAAGTGATCAAACTCCTGGTCGAACTCCTGAGGGGACACTGCATATAAGCCTTTTATATAGATAGATAGATCTCCTTTCTGAGTGACACATTCCATCTTTAGATAGTTAATATTTGCCTCCTATTATTTTCAATTTTTGCTAGCTTAAGAGTGTTTTTTGTAACTTTTTAAAATATATGTTATTGATTTTTTTTTACAGAGAAGGAGAGAGAGGGATAGAGAGTTAGAAACATCGATGAGAGAGAATCATCGATCAGCTGCCTCCTGCACACCCCCTATTGGTGATGCGCCCGCAACCAGGGTACATGCTCTTGACCGGAATCGAACCTGGGACCTTTCAGTCCTCAGGCCGACACTCTATCCACTGAGCCAAACCGGTTTCGGCAGTCTTTTGTGACTTTGCACAACTATATATCAATCCCAAATTCAAGTTCTTGGATAATGCATCACCTCACCTACCTTGTGTTAATTACATATTTCCGTTCCAGAGTATCATGTATTCCTGTTAGCCACATAAAATACATGTGGCTACATCGCATGTTTTCGTGTATAATTTTAAAATGAACTCCTCAAATGTATATACGTTAAATTTATAGTTTCATCTCAAGGGTTTAGTGACAGTGACAAATCCGTCAGCCTCTACAAGCATACCTCCTTGTTCTATTTGGGGTTCTTAAGCACTCTGTCACATTTGTCCCTAACTAACCCTCATGGAACTACCCTTTTCGCATTCCCCCTCAACAGCCAAAGTGCTACAATGGTGCCCTTGGAAATGGAGACAATTCTATGATCTCTAAGTATAATTTGCTAATCTCACGGGTCAGGAGGACTTCTTCCCGTTGTCCTGCTGCGTTTGGTCACAGCGGGTCTGCCCTTTCATTAGGAACCCTCTTTGTCACTGCGACAGTAACAAATGGAAACCATCAGAACATTCTGTGACAGGCACTGTCATTGTTCCTGATGAAATCTCTTCCTCTGTGTCTTCCCAGTAAAGGAAGCTGAGGGGGAAAATCATAAGTACCATGAAAGAAGGCCTAACAATGTATTTCCAGGAGGCTGTCAATATGAGCCCATGTTAATTTAATATGATTTAGTCAAATATTTCATGGCAGTTGTAGGAATACGGTCTAGACCAGTGGCCGGCAAACTCATCAGTCAATAGAGCCAAATATCAACAGTACAACGATTGAAATTTCCTTTGAGAGCCACATTTTTTAAACTTAAACTTCTTCTAACGCCACTTCTTCAAAATAGACTCGCCCAGGCCGTGGTATTTTGTGGAAGAGCCACATTCAAGGGGCCAAAGAGCCACATGTGGCTCGCGAGCCACAGTTTGCTGACCAGGGGTCTAGACCTATAAATCATCTTTAGACTACAAATGAGTTTGCCTTTGGCAGGCAGAAAGATATAACTCTCAGACAAATGACTAGAGACCTTACCTAAGGACCAACATTCTTAGGATTAAAAAAGCTTCATTAGCCCCCCTAGGATTGCTCAGTGGTTGAGTATCAACCTATGAACCAGAAGGTCACGGTTCGATTTCCGGTCAGAACACATAGCCAGATTGCAGACTCGATTCCCAGATTTAGCAACACGATTACATGCAGGAGGCAGCCGATCAATGATTCTCATCATTGATGTTTCTGTATCTCTC